ACTGGCGGGAGGTGGGGTCTGGGGAAGCGCGTCCTCCGACTTTCGCTATTGTGCACGGCCCCGAGTGGCGCGGTGTCGCCTGGTAACTGGCAGCGGCCGGGCTCTCACAAATCCGGACTCTCCAAAGCTTCCTGAGCCAATTTGCAATTGCCCGAGGAAAGCGGTCGCCGGAGACCAGAGCGCTCAGGCCGGCCGGGGCTGAAAGAGTTGGAATCCTGGGACCCGTCGGCTCTTTCTTTCTCCCGCCTCTCGGGGTTGCTTGCGGGGAGGTGGCTGCGCTGCAGCCGCCCCCTTGGCGCCCTTTCCAAAATCTTGGTGGCCCGAGGTTTGTACCCTCCCGACAAAGAACGCGAGGGGACCTGGTTGCCGGGTGTTCTCTGGGATCTTTAAATGCCGAGAGGCGGCAGCCAGAGGTGGCCTGGAGAAGGGGCTGCAGGGAAACCTAGGCCCCCGCGGGACAGAGTTAACTCGCTCAGCCAGGGGCGCGTTGGAAGGAGTGTCCGAGAGCCTGCACGGTAGCTAGGGTCACTTCCTCGCCAGGCGCCCCGTCTCCCTTTTGCTCCCGGATCCCAGCCTCTAGAGCTGCGGATATGAAAATGTTCTTCCCGGGACGAGTGGTTAGGGGCTGGGAGGGGACGGTCAAGGGGCGCCGCGGACCCCGCGGAGTGGAAGGTTTTGTCTGCGGATGCAACCAATTAAGCGTGCAACCGGCTCTTGCAGAGCTGTGCGCAGCGCCCAGGGCGGGGGTTTTGTTCGCTGAAATTTCCAAGGCTAGGCGGGCAGGGCTGGAGCGGACAGGACTATTGAGAACATGTAAACTACACTTCCTTGGTTTTTAAAACTTCTCTTTCATTCCGTTCCCTTAAATCGCTTCCCTCTTGGCAAATGGATCAAATAACCCTATGATCCCAAAGCCAGAGGAGGGCAAGGTGAGGAAATTCAACGTTTGCTTGCTTGTACATTTCAGAAAAAACAGAGAGAGGGTTGTATCTTTCTGAATCTATCAAAGGAAACCAGCCAATCTAGAGACCTCTGAGTTTTCCCGCTCTGCGCAAGCCACACTTCTCACCACGTTTGGATCCTGTTTTACACCTCCCAGGAAGACTCTGTCCTACCCCTCTTGTTTCCAACTCTAACTCCTCTAATTGCATCTTCCCATTTAAAGAAAAAAAAAAAAAACTAAAAGAAAACTCAACGGGCTCTGGAGGTGATTGGAGGTCTTACCTTTGAATTAAGACAGAGTTCACAAAGAAAGAAAAATGTGACTTCGATGTATTTGCTCAGGGTGTGCCCACTGGCGCTAGTATCCACGGAAGCTTGGAAGGAACCTTCCCCAGATTCTCTCAATAAGATGCGAATTTTCATTGAGAACTGTAATGCATTTTAATTAGTCTTATTTAACTAATGAATCTGAATGAAATATGAATAGATGATTCACAAGGTAAATATTTAGGATCTGGAATATTAATCATCGCATTTTCTTAACCACTTGGGTATTTATTGCTTGGCATAGGAGCCATTTAAAGTTCTGCTAAACCTAGTGACTGTTTCAACTTCTCCTTCCCCAATACTTCAGTCCTCTTCACGTTTTCCTCCTTTTAGTTTTCTCCACGCCGTCCTCGTAAGCTTTCTCAAAAGAAAGTTTTTAAGAAAACAAGTTTATTTTTATAAAAAGATATTTAAATTTTGACTGGAGACCATGCCTGCCTCTCAGAAAGGAAGTGGAGAATTGAAGCAATTATCTAGATAATTCAAGCAAAACCTCCCACCTCAGATTTACCATAATTATTTGGAAATTTTAGAAGGAATAGAGTTAATTTGAGCTGAAGAACTTGGATAATCGCTCCAATATTTAACCCAATGTGTCGATTGCATCCTAATCGACCTAGAATGCAGGTATGCACAGAAGATTAAAAGCCACCTCTAAGGTGGGAAATTGTTGGAATAGCTGCAGTGCTGAAATATCTATGGCTAGCTTCATATTTCTGCTGTTTGAAATGCCAGTATAATGGACAGTAATATTCACCTAAACTGCTTATTATTTCTATGAATTGACGAATGCTCACCCTTCTAGATTTTATACCTTAAAATAAATTATTTTCTTCCTAAAACGTGTAATCTTTTCAGGCTTCCCCACCCTTTTAAGTAAGAGATAGAACCTAGTTTTCATATGCAAAATAGTTTCCACTTGAAACCTTGGATTCAAAGTATAGTTATTTCCTCTTTCTGTAAACTTTGCACCATCATCATTTATTCTTGAACTGAATGTGTTCCAAGAGCTCTGTTGAGCAGCACATGCAGAAAATACAGTTTAAGAGTCAGAGTCAATTTCTTTCACACGGTCTTGCCACAACAGCATCTTTTTTCCCCCCACAATTAGGAGCCAACCAGTGAGCCCTCTCCTAAGAGACCCAGGGGAAGACCCAAAGGCAGCAAAAACAAGAGTCCCTCTAAAGCAGCTCAAAAGGTGAGAATTCTCAAGTCAATCTCTCCTAACTGCATCAATGACTTTAGGAACCACCCTGTGCTTTTTCCCATGCTAAATCCACACTTAAGGATTTGTCCTAGGTGGATAACCCATGACACGTTTTCTACATTGGACATTAGATGGGCATTAATCTTTTTCTTTTCTTTCTTTCTTTTTTTTTTTTTTTTTTATTTGCAAGTACAAGCTGAACATAAAAGGTTCATGGAGATACTTACAGTGTTTTTTTAAACAAACACCAAATAATATGAACCTTAATTAGGGGTGGCGGGATGAGGAGGGAAGGGGTAGGGGGTGATGGGGTAGGAGTGGAGAATGATACAATTAAAATTTGCATGAATTGTGAAATACTTAAATCAAAACTATAGATTCTCCCTGTTGGTGAAGTTCTGCAATTTCCTCTGAAAAGTAATAGAGATGAATTTACTTTGCGCTTATTTAGATGACTACTGTAAGTCTAGTCCCCCTATTAAAAGTACTTTCTGAAGTGGATGACAATTAGAAGTAAATCCAATTATATGGATAATGCAAAATTTCATGAATTTTACAACTTTAAGTGTGATGATAAAGTTTGTTTTATAATAAACCTGCAATGTATTCTACCATAATCTCAAGAAAGCTTGTCATGTGTTATGCTCTGAATTGGACAATGATAAATTTTTAAAACAAAGTATTTGACTCACTTATATTTTGGGGCAGAATAGAAGCCAGTCAAGTTTGATATTCAGTATTTTTCTTAATAAAATTTAAATTGCAGTTTATGATAACTTTGTCTTGGTTGTATTTGAATTAGCAGAGAAGAAATATCTCAGGATAAATGCAAGTACAGCAAAATGAAGGTGAACATAAAAGTCACTATTTTTGGCTTTATAACTAAATTAAAATAGGTTACATTTTATTTGTAGGTTTGTGTAGTAGTTCAGAACAAAGATTAAAACATCAGAAGTAGACTTATGATGCATATTTTCAACAGATTTGAATATACCATATACAAAAGATCATGTTAAAAAGGACAATATGCTCAACTTTGGGGGATTACTGTTTTATATTGTGTGTTTCTCTGTGATTGTGGGTGCTAACCTTGTTATATGTGATGGTTTTCAGTGTTTTGAACTACCATAGCAACTAATAGTACATAGAAAGTTATTTGGGAAGTAATTATGAGTTTTATCTGTTTTAACAGTCTTGAATAGAATTGAAGGAGGAGATTTCTCATAAATTTAAATTTAGCTGTTTCATAGGAGTTAGGATTCACATGTAATCAAATTTTACAGTAGCTCTAAGTATCCTTGTTTAAAAAATGACAATACATGATCTGATACTCAATGTGAACACCACTTACTCCATTTTACCTGGTTTATACCTTAACTGAAGAGCTATTTATGCCAAGAAGTTAGATTCTGTGTTGTATAAGTATGGAATTTACCTTAATTTTCCTCTTGGGACATGGCAAAGAAATTTCTTAGTAGGTAGCTAACAAACATTTAAGCTATATAATATCTCCCAGGAAGAAATCCTTAAAGCTCAACATAGGTAAATTATTTAAAATTTAATACAAAACAGGAAAATGAACTATCTTCCAGATTTTACTCCATTACATGTATTTGAAGTAGATAGAAATGTTTCCATCACCTCTTCATTTTTAAAAGTTTACCAATAACAGCATCTTTACAGACAAAAGGAAAGCTGACACTTATGCCTAATTTACTACCCAAAGCAAAATAACCAAAAGTTGACCTATTCCCAGGTAAGCTTTGTTTTATTTTCAATGACTTCAGTAATAAACATTTTCAAATGACCATACCAGGCCATTCACATTTTCTGATAAATCTTCCTGTATATACATATATTAGTACAATTTGCAAAACACAAATAGGGTTTCTTTTCCTAAAGAAGTCCTTCAGAAGTATCTGAAATCTTTCACTCTTTCAAACGCAATTATTTCATATAATTTTGTTACAAAATTGCTTCTGATAAAATTGAAAATACATTTCCCATAATGCAATTGTTATTTTTCTTCAGTTTTATAAATCACACTTCATTTGCAGAATATAATACTTTTCAAAATAATAAATGACATTGATGAATTGTTTATGGCTTATATAGACTTCAGATGTTTTCATTTTCAAATCAGTATTTCAAATCAGAATAATTGAGCATTATTCTACCTTATATAAACATGATTATCAAACATAACTTTGTTATTCAAATACATATACTGTATTCTAACAAAACATATGTTTGTTAAGTTTCGAAATGCAAATCTTTTTAGAAAAATTTATATTGTTCATTATACACTACAAGAAAAAAATACCTTGTTAGACTGACCAGAGAAGATATGAATCTTCTGTGATTAACTGGGCATTTTTCTGCACACTGAGGCTCATCACAATGAAAAATACATTATAAAAACTGGTAAGTATGTGAGAGAAAATAACTCCAAAGTGAGAGGAGATGCATTGTACACTGAATCCTGATGATGCTGTGTGTTTCTTGCTGCTTGCAGTTTCTTTACTTGCAAAGTTTGCATTCAGATCCAGCAACTGGCCTTGGGGCATTTGAAAACAAAACTGCTTGTTAGAAAATTAACAGTGTGAGACCTGACAGTGCATGAAGAATATTGTAAGACCAAGTGAAGGTCTATTAAATTAACCATCACTTTAATTTCAGGCCACATTCAATAGAAGAAAATGGATTTACATGACATGTAAAACAAACAAGTTCATAAAAACACAATTTTTATGTTATTACTTATGGAAGAGATCATTATTCTTTAGTCTGCTTATATTCCATTAAAACTCATTTCCATGCATGAACCATTGTGTGGGAATTATGTAGTCAATCCTGATAACTTGAGTCTAAGTGCTTAAACTTTGTTCCTGAGCCAGTTTTATATTGTTATCTTGATAAAAGAAGAGCAGAAGTTAATGTTTTCCTAAATAAATAATTTGAGTGAGAAGGAAAGTTTTAACCCTTTTGTTTGTTTTTAAATTTGAGATGTCTCTTAATTTCCTTTTTTGTTTTTTGTTTTCCTCTCATGATTGCACTAGATTTCTCATCTTTGGAGAGAAGAAAGATATCCCCTCTTTTATGTTTTGTAGTGCTTTTTTAATGAGAGGATTGTCACTGATCCTTCTGTTTAAAGTCACAAGTCAAATTTATGTTTAGGCTTCAAAACAGTTCTCTCAAGTGCTTCTAAAAGTATTTTTCTGAAGTTGAGTTAAATTTTAATAGAAGGAAAATGACTATTAAAAAAGATCTCTGGTGTGAGGTAGCCTTACTTTGTAGTGTTATGGATTCGCTTGACTTTCCCTTTGACTTTAGATGCAGTGGCCAGAACTAGAAAGTAAAGTACAGATTGAAAATATCATCCAGGTAAAATATGTGTACTTCAAATAATGTGTTTGGAGTAAACACTTGATTTTCTTTTTCAATTTACAATGAAAAAGAAGTCCTGATGTTAAATGGGCGCTATAAAGAAGGATCATTAGCACATCTAGAAAAGTGATTGACTTTTCATAAATTATTACTAACATCAATTACAGATATTTTAGGGAGAGATAATGTGGGTTTTACTCATCACTGCTTCTGAGTTCTAATTCTTAGAGCTGCATGAGAATAGAATTTTCTTTAGAATATATTAGGACCATTGAAGAGTTACCAAAGGCATCACTAGTTATATGTAAGTCAGAGAAAGATGACCTATTCCAGTCTTTGGTTTCTACAGCTGTAGTAGGAGTTAGCTTGATTTTTCTGTTTTAATGGACAGGTAAGTTCCTTCATGGGATTCAGAGCCTTGTGTGAGTGTATGTAAATGAATTCAGGCATATAGAATTTACTAGTTTATTGTTTCCAGTATGTTAGTAGTTTAAGCTGGCTTACCTAAATTGACTCACTTATTTATGTATTTATTTGCTTCACTTTGCCAGGAAAACAAAGTCTTTTTATCAATAAACTTCATTTGGCAATGCCTTGGAATCATCATAGATCGTATTCCAAATATGGGAGATTCAAATACATTTGAGTTATTTTACATAGTAACTTGATGTCAGGGGACCCATAGTTAGAATCCTCTGGAAAGTATCATCCTTCTGAGCCCTTTCATCAAAAGCTCCTCATTATTTTGGCTGACCTACATCCCTGGCTCATTTTTATCTCAGTTCTCAACAGATCATTTTCCTAAAGAGTTTGAATATACCAAATTGTATTCTATTGCATTCCAGTTCTTTCTTCTTCAGAATAGATGGATATTATAAAAAAACAGTTTATACCAGTTAAATCCTGTGAATAGGTCTTGTTCTATTAGCTAACTTTGTGTAGTTTCTAAAGCCCACTTTAGAAATGTATAGCTTGGCACAAGGCTGGAAACTGAATTTCCAAGTCCTAGATGCTGCAGTTTTAAATTAAGAATCTACAGTTATATTCTGCCAATCATGAAGAAAAAATGAATGGAAAATTGTTTATATCTTAGGTTATTACTTGATTTTACATTGCACCAATGCACTGAACAATTTTGAGTAGCGTTTCCTGTCTGATTTGGTGGGGAGTAGTGTAGTCATTCTCTTTAGGTTGTGTAGGAGACAGTTTTTTTCAGAAGGTAACACTTGTGAACTCTTGAATCACTGCTACTAATTATACATAAAGGGAAGATTTAAAGGAGGATCATCTCCAACTTTGAAAATGGTAACTTTTCACAGGTTGTGTAGGAGACAGTTTTTTCAGAAGGTAACACTTGTGAACTCTTGAATCACTGCTATTAATTATACATAAAGGGAAGATTTAAAGGAGGATCATCTCCAACTTTGAAAATGGTAACTTTTCATGCCATTTTGGTCTGAGTTTTAAGTTAGTGTTTGTACATGTGAAGACAGGCATGAGCGACATAAAGATGTGGAAGGTGACAGTAAGGGCTTCCTCAGGTCACATAAGCATGAGCCACAGTGGATAATGGAATTTCTGAAAAATGTACTGCGAGAACAAATTATAACTGCCTTTTAAGATTAAAAATGGTGGAATTAATAATTGGGGAACTCAGAGCTGGCCTGTCAGAAAGGTGAAATGAGAATTTGCACAGTGATTAGTCCAGTTAATTTTTATATCAATGCACATTGTTTTATGTACTGTTTATATTTTTAAGGGTAATGGAAAGAAATAAAATGTGATTTTCTAGACTTTGGTTAGTCAGTTTCATGTACATTTAGGTCCAAGCAGATCTTAGTCTTAAAAAAAAAAGAAAAACAACAAAACAAAGCATATATGCAGATATTTTTCTAACTTTTTTTTTCTGTGCAAATGTACTGATTAATACGGAGTGGAGGATTTCTGGCTTTCTTGTGTCATCTATCATATATGAGCATTTAGAATTGCAAAACATTAATAGCTATCTAAATTTGACCCTGAAGTTAGACTTGAATTATTCTTTTGGTTCCCAATCACTATTCTTGTCTATATCTTTATAAGAATCTTGAAAATATTTTACTTTCAACTGTTCATTTTTACCTTAGAAGGCTTTCTTTTGCTTTTTAAGTTTGTCATGACAGTTTTATGGCATATGAGAATGTCTCCCCAAAGAACAAACCTTTTACTGCCTTAACATCAGATTGGGTCTTGGTTCTACTACTTATGAGTATAGGCAGGTCACTTAATTTCCCATGAAATGAAAAACAGGGGAAGTAAATGGTTGCCTAATTTATGTAAAATTATGCTCAGAAAATCACTGGGGAGACTTACAGAATTGGTAGATGTTCGGCCGGGCGTGGTGGCGCACACCTGTAATCCCAGCCCTTGGGAGGCTGAGGCAGGAGGATTGCTGCAAGTTTGAGACTGGCCTGGGCTACATAGTGAGTTCCAGGTCAGCCTCAACTACATAGTGAAACCCTGAAACCCTGTCTCAAAAAAACAAAAAAACAAAAAAATAAAGAATTGTTAAATATTCTTTTTAAGGGTAGCATTGTAAACTAGGAGACAAGAAATTATATTTGAGTACCTAACAAATGTCATAGCTAATACGCACTACACACACACACACACACACACACACACACATATTAATCCTTATATTAGTTATTGTGATCTTTATTTCAGAAATGAGCAAAATGGGTTTCAGAGTTAATAAACTGACATGTTTAACATTCAACTCAATTAAATGATGACACATCATTTTGAATTCAACTCTAATTCTAAGGCTTATCCCATTTCTACAACCATGTACTGCCAAGTATTTTATAAAGGATTTCTGCATGATAGATTTCTATTATGTTGTGTGACCTGAGATACAGATTGCAAATTGAGTTTTGAGAAACTTTGGGAGAGCCCCTTAAACCACACTTCTATGAATTTGTGGATTACAGCAGCCCAGAAGTTTTCTTGTATGTTAAATGAGAAAGCTATAAAAAATGAATTATAAAATTTTACTAAATTCTTAAATTTTGATAACAAAAATAAAACACATAAACACCAGAAGCTCTCCCTTTCCCTTCCCCTCTCTCTTCCCTTCCCTCCTTTCCTCTCTTCTCTTCTTTATTACTTCTTTCCTTCCTTCCCTCCATAGATATGCAGTGAACACCTCTTGCAAACCAGGCACTAAGGTTAAGTGTTGTTTTTGATTTCAAGAGAGATATTTGTTAGCTGAATTTCTTTTCTCAATTTTTCAAAAAATGTGGAGTACATTGAGAGCCCAGTGAACTAGAACTTCTTAAAGAAATAAATATATTTCTGGGTTTAACATCCCTCCTCATTCTCAGGAACTTGCTTCTAAATATATTATAAAATCAAGTATACAGTTTGAATTTTAAAAATAAAATAAAATGCAAATGAAAAGAAGTAAGAAAGAAATAACACTTTTACCAAGACATGATAGTTGTGAATACTACTATAACAGTGCTGGTAACTGAAATTTTAGTTGCTTTGTTTCTCCTTTTTCCCCCGCAGTGTAACCAACAATACTTAGAGCTAGTTATGTGTCACTTATTGGTTAGTAGTATAGAACCAAATTCTATCCAGGCAAAAGAAAACTAAATATACTTTCCTACAATTTTGCATATGTTGACATATTAAGACAAAACAAGTCTACTAAATGCTTTATCTTCATTGAAAAACAATATCTTGCAAAGCATTAAATACAGAAAAAACAACGTTAAAGTCAGTATTTTCCAATATGTAAAAATCTTGAATCTCTTAGGTTACAAACTAAAATTTTAACTTGCAGCCTTTGAGGAGTTTGATTAGAATGATTAAATGATGTGGGTTTTTAAAAACAATTGAAAACCTCCCAGATTGAAGCCACACAGCACAGCTAATGTGTTTCTTCTAGATGTAGTCTCAGAAGAGGGTTTCAGTTTACATGTAACTCTGGCCTTTGTGACCAAGGAGCAAGTTTGCTTTTGACAAATCTGATATTTTGCCCCTTAGTTAATGGTATGAATTTTATTTCTCAATAGGCTTTTTGTAAATCAGATGCTCATTTAAAAGTCGTCTTACTTGCAGGTCTTTCTTTGAGAGATTTGTTTCCTCTGACTTTGAAATACAGAGAAACCTTTTTAAAATAAATGTCTTCGATAGATTTTGGATACACCCAGATCACATCATGGCCCTGAAACTTAACAACTTTAAGGAAAAGCCTGGCAGGACACCTTTAGCATTAAAGTCAACTGCCACCTCCCCCAGCCGCGCACCTACTGCCTCCATTTCCATTTGAATTAAAAAGGATTTCTACCTCCCATGTTTGTGTAACTTACAACTTACTCCTGGGTAAAGCATGCAATCTTACAGTGGCTCCCAAAGATTAAATCAGAGGCTGTATCTCTTTTAGGGAATTTTGTACTCTCATAACTTACCACGCAGGAGCCAAAGGGTTTTTTAAAAACTTTCTTCTATAGGTCATGGATGTAGTGGAATATTTACTTTGGCTGAACCATCTGTGAGATTGGACTAACCTAGAGGAGAGCTTTCCCTTTAAGGGTTGCATCTTGTTAGGAATGAAAGAATGTTTATGAGCTCTTCAGTGAGGGCAGGCATTTCCAGATACCTTGATGTCACCTCATAGAAGGCATTGCCTCCATTTTAGAGATAAAATCAAATTAAGGCTTTTGGGGACTTGCCCAAAGTCATAAAGCTAAAATGGCAGAGTGGAGATTTGAAGTAAGCTTTCTGAAGTAGAATATGTTCCTCTCAGGAGGCCTCCTTCCCTCCATGAGAAAACACTCTAAAAGGCAGTGTGGCTTAATGAGCACTCCTGGCTTTCATTTAATTTAATTCATGCTCCCTATGACTGAAGGTAAGGTGATGCCCCTAACCCTGATAATAAATGATTCCTTTGTGGAGACATTCAAAAGTAATAAACAACAATTCAGAGAGCCCCAACTTAACAGAGCTCCTTGATTTCCTTCTGCTTTAGAAAATTAGCTGATACACTGACAGTTTGTTTCCAAATATGTTCTCTGGTATCATATACTCGTGTGTGCTAACGGCAGATGAGGGCATTGTTGAGCATTTAGGAGCACGCAGTCTGCCATGTCAGCAAGAATTGAGTTCAGGCCTCAGGTCTGCCACTTACTGGCTTAGCCTTGGACAAGTTATTCATCTAACCTATCTAAGACTCAATTGCTCATTTAAAAAATAAGAGAAATAATAATACCCATTTTATAAGGCTTCTGGATAGATTAAAGTAGCACATGTGAGTGATTTAGCCCAGTGCCAGGGGTTATTTTAAATTCACAATAAATGTAAGCTAACCTTAATCACAGAGTTTGGTTTAATTCATGTATCTGCTAGATAGTAATGCCAGATATTTATCTATCCATCTGCCTGCCTATCTTTTATGTATATTTGTGTATATGTATTTTTATTAGATTAAAGAGAGAAAGGAAAGTTTCATTTAGTAGTGTACACTATAATTTATATCTCATTGGCTATTAATGTAGGTAACAAAAGTAAAATGCAAAACAAGATAGCCTTGGAATGACTCTCACACCCAGAACAGTGTGTGCTGTTTTCTTTGTACTGAGAAGATAGATAGGAAGCATTGTGTGTGTGTGTGTGTTGATGTGTTGGTGTACTGATGTGCTTGGAATTGGAGTAGAAGTGACAGAAGTGGGGAAAAGGTTAGTTACTTTGCAAATTGTGTTGAAAGTTTGATTCAAAAAGAGAGGAAAAAAAAACAACTATGCCGGGAAAAAAAAATCTGTGAAGTAAAACAATTACACAAATGCTTAAGATAGTTGGGAATACATTCATGTCATGTTTGTGTTGACTGTGAAATTATTGTTAATATGAATTTTTAAATAATCATTATTTTTAGGCAGCCATATTCTTCATTTTAGGGACAAACCCTGATGATTTTTACCAGCCTTTTACTTCTCTGCTTAAATTAACTGATTGACAAGTGATGGTTTTTGGCAAGAAACAGGAAATAAACCATGTAGAAATGGGCCGATGTTTATTATTTTGAATTAGAATGCTTACATATTCTTTTTCACATTTAGACTTGCTTTTCACTAGCAGTATAGGAGATGTGTTTTGTAAATTTAAATCAATACATCTGTAGTAATTTCTATAACTTTAGTTGTGACGTGTAATGAAAATAATTTATGTATTTTTCTAAAATGCTTATGTATGGAATTATAAGATGTGGGACTATTTCTTTTACCGTGAACAGAAAAAAATAAAAGAAAATCAATTTTACAAAGAATTTTAATGTATTTCAGAATAGATCACTCCAATGATCTATTGATGTTGAGGGGTTGCGTAGGTGCCTCTTTACCTCATGCAATGAAAAATGAAGACGTTACTAAAAAAATGGAGGAGATAATGAACCTTAAAGGCGAAAAACATTGCAAAAAGCATCTAGATACCTAATCTGCAATACAGAACATTCTTACTTGAAACATATCCCTTGGCACAGCACTTATAAATAATGTCAGGTAGGAAGCTATGTAACTTCCCTTCTTCATTTTGCAGAAAGCAGAAGCCATTGGAGAAAAACGGCCAAGAGGCAGACCTAGGAAATGGGTGAGTGATAAGACATAATTTCTGTTCTTTTAGTAAAGAAAAAATTCTGTTTTCTAAAAAATAAAACTATGAAAAGTATTAGTTTTACTTCAAGGATTACATGAATTATTAACTTCCAGTTTGATGAATCTTCAAAAATGTGAGAGGTTATCACCGCTTATCATTAGGCTCCGGGGTTTACTCCGAACACTTTCCTTTTCCTGAAAGTGACTCCTTTTTCTATCTCTTATTAACATTAAAGGTGTCTCTACTCTTCCTTCAAATGGAATAATAATGAGATGACTTGTTCTATGGTTTGAGTAACAAGGATTAAAGGTATCATGAAATCTTAGAAATTGATTATAAATGGTGATAAAATTCGGATGAAATAACTTTTTAACATCTCCTTTCTTTCTACCCTCCTTCCTTCCTTCCTTCCTTCTTTTCTTTTCCTTTGACTTTCCCCATGGCTTTGTCCTAGGCACACTGATTTTATAGGCGGGTCGTGTTTTCTCTCTGACACTGGCTTTGTTAGGAAGCGGGGTTTTAATTTCCAGTTCTTGCTTCCCATAATCATCATTCTCTATGTACTGACAGCAGAGATGATTCCAAGTGCACCTAACCGCACATGTGCACAGATGTTCAGAAATTCAGTGGTTGCTGATGAACTTTTCTTGCTTTACCACTTGAGCATTGTATTCTTTGTCACCACATTACACACATTCTTCCGGTGTGTCTTTCCGCTGACAGAGAAGGAAAATCTCAAACTTAAGTACAACTGTATCTCAGAAAGGGCAAAGGTATCCTCTATACCTGGTATAGTGTGTGATGAATTCTTTGGTTTTCCTTTTCCTTCCTCCCTGGTTTATTCTTCATGCTCCACTTCTTTTAAAAGTTTCTTTCCTGGTATCCTGGATTATATTTTCCTGTTAGTTTGCTATTCCTTTCTCTTTTTGAGTCCTACATCGCTTCTATTTATACTTTGGTATTGCCTTTCATCTAATTTATTCATCTTGTATTCTTTTCTCTGCTCCACATGTGTTGGGATTAAATTTCTTAGCAAAGGGAAATGGGATGATTTTAAGATTAAAAACATCTCAGTATTACAGTATAATCTTAAAGTAAAGGCATTTCATTTAGCTTGCATTTAATAAATAAATTCTCTCCAAACCTACATGCTGCATGGTGGCCATCCAGCTTACCTGATTACCTTAAGTATTAGGGAACTCACTATCCCTTAAACTTGCCTCTTCCTTCTTGGAAAGCTTAGAACATTAAAACATCTTCCATCTGACTTCCTATAACTTCTTCCCACTGTCTCTAGCCTCTCTGCTAGGAACAGACAGAGTAAATATTTTCACTTTCACTCATGGTAGCCTTTCAAATACCTAAGGGCAATTAATACAAACTCTTTGTTCATTTTTCCCATTTGATTGTCTCCATCTTTTCTTGTTCCCTCATAAAGGAATATTGTTATTCTTTGTAAGCATTTTTTAATATTCTGACATGTGTTACCCAGAAGCATGTATCATATTCCAGGTGTGGGTTCTATAACCAGTTAGTTTATCATGTCTTTTGCTGTACATGTGGTTCCAGTTAGTTATTGCTGTTTAATCAACTAACCAAAAACTCAATAGTGTAAAAAAAAAAAAAACCAAGTATTTGATTATGCTCCTGTAGCCTTTGGGTCAAGAATATGGACAAGGCATAGCAGAAAGGCTGTATCTGCTCTAGGATGCCTAACATCTCAGCCAGTAGGACTCAAATCTCAGGTTGACTGTCATTCTTGGGGTTTAGAATTTGGAGGCCTCTCCACTCAGAAGTCTGGTCCTTTGATTGGCTGTAAGTCTGAGCGTGTCAGGGAGTGTCCCTGGCTATTAACACATGACATCTCCAGCTTGCCTGCCTCAAGGAAGTCAGCCATCTTATCTGCACTCAGAGCTCCCAGAGGGTGTTCTGGTAACCTAGGAGAAATGAAAGGCCTTTGTCTCAGTTATTTTCCTCTCATTGCTGAGACAAAATATCTGACACCCAAAATTAAAGAGGAAAAAGTTTATTTAGCTCACAGTTTCAACTGGCACCAAGTCAGAGTGGCCCATGGCAGCAGGGTTTCACAGCGGAGAAGCAGTTCATGGTGCCCACACAGTGGCAAAAGCAACAAGGGAAACTTCACGGCATCTTTCTGCTCCTTTTACCTTATCCAGACTAGTGGGATTAGGGCCATGCCAAACCAGCCAAGGTACTGGTTTAGTAACCATACTCCCTTAATCCCAGCATCACACACCCTAGATTTAATCACCTCTGAAAAAGCCACCTATGGCCACATGAAGCTTTGGGGGGATCATCTAGACCCAAACCATAACATTCCACCACCAGGCCCCCAAAGATTCATGCATATCCCTTTACACAAAAACACATTTAGTCCATCTCCAAGAGTTGTCAAAGTCCTACAGTTTCAGCATTGCTGAAAAGTCCAAGTCTAAAGTCTCCTTTGAGATTTAAGGCAAATTCTTAGCTGCTAGCTCCTGTATAAATGAAAATAAAGGCTGGGAATTTAGCTCAGTGATTCTTCTCCTGCCTCACAAGTGCAAGGACCTGAGTTTGATCCCTGGTACCAAAATAAATAAAATAAAATAAATAAATGAAAATAAAGTTAAACACTCAACATCCAATGGCACAAGATACATATCCAATGGCATAAGATAAACATTTCTATTCCAAAGGTTACAAACAGTGGGATGCAAGGAGTAGGAACAAAGCAAGATCAAAATCCAATAGAGCAAACATTAAATTCCACGGCTTCACTTCCAGCATCCTTGGCAATCTGTGGCAAGTTGTGGACTCCAAAGGGCTTGAGTGGCTCTGCCCTACGGCACTTCTGGTGGTGATAGCTCCATGGCTTCTCTCTTGGTCTGGCTGTGCTCTCTCCTTGCATATTTCCTCAGATGATCCATGCTCCTGGCTTCTCCAAACTTCTGGGGTCTCCACTTTACATTTTACACTCTGGTTTTACACTCACAGTTTCACACATGGCCCTCTCAGAGGCACACTCCCTGACCTCCTAAGCCTTCTTCTGAAATCTGGGTGGAAGTGTTCCTGACCCCACAACTCTTGTATTCTACCTGCACCTAAAACCAGCACCACATGGATTATGCCAGTGTCTGCCACCAGCTGGAGCAGTGGCCAGGGTTCCTTCTGTCTTGGCTGTAAGAGTTGAGTGTCTAGATCACTGAGCACTCCGAACGCAAGCCTAAGGAACAAATTCTCTAGGTTCCTGCCATTCTGGAACATGGTGCTCTGGGGCTCTCTTCTCAAAGCAAAGTCTTTCACCTTTGCAACTCTGAGGCTGCAAAGGCTGGACTCTTGTTGGTTCTTGCGATATCCTACTTGTTTTTTTCTGGCTAGTCTTTTCAGCCATCAATTTCTCCTCTGTTCCATTTTTGCAGGCAGCAACTTTACTTCCCTTCTGGCTAAACTCACAACATTTTGAATCATTCTGCTAGGCTCTTTAGTCTTGATTCTCAACATAAATCTGGCTAAAAGCACCCAACAGTTGACATGCCACTGTCTCAACATTAGTCTACCTTGAAATTTCTTCTGCAAGATTAATTAGTCTACCACCCTTAATTTTAGTCTCAGGAAGTCTCCTCTGGACAAGAGCAAAATGCAGACAAACTTTCTGTCAAGATATAACACACATTGTCTGGAGTCCAACTGCCAGTGCAGTCCTTCTTAGCAGAAACCTGCTGAGCCTGGTCTTTACTGGCAGCATTTCTATCAGCTTTTTCATCTTCTGAGCTCTGACCAGAATCTCTGTCAACTACAGCCTAAGACATTCCAACTCTACTTTTTAGCTGGCATATCTGAACTTTTCCTAACTCTTCCTCTTCCCACAAGCCCAGCTCCAAAGGCTTCTAAATCACATGACTAGGAACAGTCACAGCAATGGCCTAACTCCCAGGTACCAAATTCTGTCTTATTTTTCTCTCATTGCTGAGACAAAATACCTAATGCCCTAAATTAAAGGGGAAAGAGTTTACCTAGCTCACAGTTTGTAGAGGTTTCAGTTCATAATCAAGGCATCACAGAGGAGAAGCAGTTCATGGTGCTCACACAGTGGCACAAGCAACAAGGGAAACTTCATAGCATCTTTCTGCCCCTTTTATCCAGACTAAAATTAGGGTAGGGATTAGGATGGTGCCAAACCAAAAGTGTACTGGTTTAGTAATCACACACCCTTAATCCCAGCATCACACACTAGATTCAGCCACCTATGAAAAAGCTTCCTATGACTTCATGAGGATTTGGGGAGACATTTAGACCCAAACCATAGCTGTCTTTTTTGACTTTCTCTCAAAAATCAGAAGGTGTCATTTCCATAATATTCCAGTGACCACACTGTTGACCGAGATAATAGTGGCAAACATATCAAGTGCAGGTCTGGTATTTTCTAAGCATCAGAACTCTGAAAAGGCATTCTTTTCCATGGAACCAATCCATAAGAAAAGAGCTGCATAATCTAATAAGCAATAAAATAAACAAGAAAATATAGGGGCTTTTTGAAGTCGTAGGATTAATGTTACTAAAATGAAATAAAACAAAGTGCAAGCAAATACAGTGAAAATTAACCAGCCATATACCTCCATTGAATAGAGCTTCTTAGCTCTCTGACTTTCATTTCTTCTACCTTTGGGCTATCCTATAATGTCCTCCAGCTAACTTCCATAAATTATAGCCATATCACTGCTCTTCTCAGAAATATTTTATGCCTCCGTACTGCCAGCAAATCAGTTTCAATCTGCCCTACTACTTTGAAGTCCTCCAGTTTATGCCCAACTCTATGGCTTTATTTCCACCACTCAACCTTACACAGCTGATGTTTCTGCCATGCTGAAATACACAGCAAAAATTAAAGATTCTATATGTTTTTTTCTTCATGTCATTCTTGCTTATTTTGGAGGAACCTGGCTTTCAGACATCTGATCTTCATACTGTGTAAAAAGCACATGTGAGATGCCCAG